TTTCTGGAATACCCATCGCGACTTCCACTTCCAAGCTTTTCTTGAGTCATTCATCAGCGCCGTATGTACTACAACCCATAGGCGTCGTATGGGTTTATTTCGTTACAATATTTTATGGGCAACAACACATGTTAAAAGCATTTTTTTCTGGCAAGAGTTCAGTTTCATGGGCTTAATTAGTCGTTATGTCTGCTCACTTCACCATTGTTAGAGAATCTCGCCTCACTACAATCATTACAAACATTACAAAGTGAAATGAAATTGACTGCTCAAAATTATTGGTTAGAAAAAATTATACAACCTGAATCTCTTTAGCAAGTTTTGTATTAAATTAAAAAGGAAAAATTATTTTTTTCATATCTTCAAAATGTCAAAAGCCGGCTACTAAGCATTAGTGAGTCCATAATATGCCAACCGATGTAATAATTTTGTATTACATTATTTGTTTAAGTACTAATTAATTTGGCAAAAATCTTGAGATACTACATTTTCAGATGCTCTTCTGTTGGGAGAGTCATGCGCTTAATACAGTCCTCAACTTAAGGTTTTCTTCTTTTACTTTGCCTTTTTTACTAGCAAACAAAATTTAGCAACTTCAATAATATCTACATGCATTTGTATCGAAAAGTTTACTTATTCTTAATTAAATGTGAACAATTCTGTACTACAGTAGCAAATTTTAAAACCATACGTACGTGTATATTTCAACAGTTTGGTTTATTCACTCTCTAATTCAACGACCATTCTGTGCGAACCTACTTTCGAAAAAAAAAAACAGAAAATAGTACACCAATTAGAGTCAACGACTGTTTTTAACCTTCTTTGAGGAGGAGCTTGATTAAACTTCCCCGTTTTGTCCAACGAGAAATAAAACCCCGATATCTATCGGACAAAAGGGTGTTTAACGAGCATGTCTTCGGTCAGATGTCGCTTTAAAGTTCGTAGTCTCTGTGCAAATGTTAATGGCTGGGGCGATTGTTCCACTTGTCAGCTCGTTAATAATAGTGGCATTCGGAATTAATTAGCGTCAGCCCTTCCGAGTTTACAGACTTTGTCCCCGAAAACTCTCCCAAAAAATCTGTGATCTGATTAAACCCCGCGGCAAATGTTCATTACATTTTGACTATAAATACCCTTTTTTTATAATAGAACGAATCGGGACAAAACGGGGTGCGCAAGCTTAAACACAGAGAGTTTTAAAGTAAAGAGCAGTCGGCAATAAAAATAAAATAAATAATTTAAAAAACAAAAAGGGGATACTGTTATTTACGGAACAGGATTAAAATTCACTATCGGAATGTGGTGGGTTTAAAAAAAGACCACGTATTTTGAGAGAGCATGACGTCAGAAATTTGAAATAAACATGGGAACAAAAATACAAGTTACCATGTCCCTGACTATTTATATACGTAATTATTGTAAATTCTGAAGGAAAGGCAAGAAAATTAGTTTTCTCAAAATATAAGTAAAATGGAAAAAATGCAATTTTGTGGTGTACTTAACAGAAATTAGAGTCCATGTGGAACTTTCATCTCTATAATATTGCAGTTTTAAACACATTATATTAAATTTTATTTTATCTCTCGTTGATGAGATTACGGACTGTTTTAACTATATTCAACAGAGGTGACATTCTTGAAAAATGTGAAGATAAGAATTTGAAGGCACAGTGGAAAGCTAAACTATGGTTCAACTGCAACAAACTAAACATGAACACCGACAAATCAGTCAATATGTTTTTCACACTAAACAGAAATAACCTAACACGGTATTTCTTGGTATTGTCATTGACGACCAACTTCTTTGGAAAGCTCACGGGGATCAACTGGCAAAAAAACTAATTAAAAACACCTTTCTATTACCTTAACTTAGGAAAAATGTATCCATAAAAACAACATTAGTTGCATACTTTGCCCTTTTTCATTCTCTGCTGGAATATGGATTAATAGTGTGGGGACACTTTGCCATTCGTCACAGAATTTTTCCTCTCCAAAGACGAGCCATACGTAGCATAACTGGTCTTGACTACCGTGCTGACTGTAAATCACCGTTAGAAGAAGTTATGGTAGAGCAGAGAGAGAGGTGCAGAGAAATCAGCCGATGATCTTGAAATAAGTAATTGAAGTGTTTGTCATCAAACCTAGCTAAGAACCATCCTGAGTAAACCAGCTTTCAACTAAAAAATACCGCATAGAAATCGGTTCATCCGTTTGGAAGATGCAGTGACACAGACAAATCCACAAACAGAAATACTTCAAAGTTAAAAGTAGCTTAAGTGATTATCATTAAACGTAGCTAAGAATCATCCCAATCGAACCAGTTTTCGACCAAAAAAAAGCCTCACTGAAATCGGTTCATCGGGAGTTTTTCATATTATTAGTTAAATCATTTACCAATGAAAATTGGTTTCGTACTTCTTCCGCTATTCTGTTTACATCATGAGCGAGATACTGCAATGAATCAAATTAGGATATAGTTATTTGTACAACTAGTTTTGAGAGTGATACTTTTTTTCATGAATTTATACTTTGAATCAAGCAAATAAATAAAATAAAAATTCAGAACGAGTTGTAACAACAGGTACTTTTTTGCATGGCGATCCTTGCAAGCGGAAAGTAAAAAGAATCTGTCATTGACTTTTCACGATTTTGCTGTCATTCAAAAATTGTGGTTATCAATTATCATTATAGAAAGAAAACTAGTAGACAATAAGACTAAACGCCAGGGAGACGCATTTGTTGTTTTACAAAAATTACTTGTGTCGTGCATTTGCATGAGTTATCCACTTGATTTTGAGGAAAAAATGTTGGATACCCCTCATTACAGTCAAAAATTTGCGAATGCGGCTCTAAGTGATCTGTAACACGGTCGATGAGTAAACTTGTTGATTTGGAGGACCAAGTCAAAGTTGTTGGAGAAGTTACCGAAAATTCTCCTACAACTTCTCTAAACAAGCATGGTGTTGTAATAAGTGTAAATGAAAACTGACCCTTTAATATTCTTTTTGATCAATGTAATCATAAATGATTTGAGTTTTAATTTTATTAGAATTTTCATTTGTAAATATCGTTTAATAAAATCGTAAAAAAATTAAAAATATTGGAAAAAAAGTAAAAATACTGAAAAAAAGTAATACTTCCGATACGATTACCAGTATATTGCCAATAACCAATCCTATTGAAATTGTTTTAAAATCAATACATTCACCAATAACCACGGAATACACAGCAAAAACTTTTAAAATTTGCATAAAAATGCACTTAACATTAAAATATGGATTAAATACAAAAAATACTTAAATATGCAGAATATGCAAAAATATGTATTTTGCATAATATCCGATGATATGATGTTCCTTTGCCGTTAGGTATTGATTGCGACTTAATGTGTCGTTTCTAAATAGCATTATGGGTATTTTTTTTTGTAAATTCTGTAAATAAGTTTAAGAATTCCACCTTATACACCCAGATAGTATATCAATCGATTTAGAAGAAACCAGTCCACAGTATGTGTTGTCTATTAAAAATTTTATAGTAAAAATCACTACAGTTTAGAAATGAATCGATTATCTGAAACATGGTTTACACTGTGTCATTTTATCAAAAAGATCTATATGCATCGTCTAGAATTACGGAAGTGCATTCTTGACATTATCACAACATGGTTGTAGGGTGCAGATGTTATTTCTTTTTGTATTCGGCAACCCTGTCAAGTCTATTTGTATATTGGTTGTGTTTTTTTTTAATACTGCTACGTTGATCGGTAATTTAAAATCCGCTTGTGTAAAACTCCACAATTTGTTTTTTAACTACACAGCGAATAATTCCGACTTAATTTAACTCTCTACTCAGTAACTGACTCGGCTGGATTAGACTAGACCGCCTGCTCCTGACAGTGGTCCTTATTTAAACATCCGTGCGTTCCTTTCTGGAGAGTTCGCGCCGCTTCCAGGCTTATCTTTCTTCGAACGCCATCGTCACCGGTGATGACTAGACAATGTCCTAGAAAAGCCATAGGCGTCGTACTGGGGCGGACAATAGCTTACGTCGATACAACTTGACACAACCCAACTCGTATCTGAATAATAGAAATCAGTTTGTTGTAATTAATGTTACCGTGAAAGCTGGAAACGTAGTGAATGCCTATAATCACTACGGAATGCTGGCATTTACTGAGAATTTTTCACTAGTAAATGCTAGCATTCCCTAGTGATTGTTAGCATTTATGCATTTCCAGCTTTCAGTGTAACATACAGGGACATTTTTTTAACTCTGAACATACACCATAAAATCCCTATGTTCAATCTGAAAAAAAACACGTCAATGTATTAGAAGTATGCAACCAATATTACATGGAACCTACGTGATAATTAGAAAAAAAAATGATTTAAACTTGTCAACTTGTCAAAATATAATTTGAAAATTTGAGAATACAAACAATGTTTTATACAACGGAAGAGAAAGTACAAATTTTAACTTGGTATCGTCGGCACAGAATTGTACGTGATCTTTTTTCAGTCAATTACGCCAATAGACCAATTATGTCAACACCCACGGATGCGTCGAATATAAACATCGTTAGAGAAACAGATCAACTTATGTCCTATCTGAGGAAGTATTAATATACAATTAAACATCTTATGTTATCCCCGCAAAGTTTTAAAACAGTTTAAATACAAATGTTATAAACTCACCAAATCATCAATAACTCAGTCCAGAAGTAAAATTAAAAGAACGGATTTTTGAGAAACAGTATTTAATTTAAAAAACAATAAAAACATTTTACAAAACATCGTATTTACACATGAAGCATTATTATCATTAGATGGTAAAGTCTATTCCCAAAATTTTCGGTTGGTCCTGTTAACTCCCTTGTCCCTTCGTATTTTTTTCCTTTCTTTACAGCTATTAGTCAAATGCTAATCCTCGTCTGCAAAATTTGACAAGAGCACAATATAACCGTAGGGCTAAAATGTTGGAAGGAAATATAAACCAAACCTTAAACCTGGTCCATTTTTTATTGAAGAAAATTTGAATTCTAATTCCTTTTTAAGACTGCTACGTTACCACAGTGCACGAAATTCAATATTTAAGTTTTGATGATTGGTTTCGTTTCAAATGGATGGAACTCCCCCACATCCAACTGCAATAACACATTATTTACACGAAATCTTTAGAGCAATTGACCAAAAAAATAACACGTACCTACCCACAATTCGACTGATTACATGGCGATAGTACCAATTTAATATTTTTACGTTTTCTTCTGTTGTATTCATTTCTTAAATTTCCAAATTATATTTTGACAAGTTGACAAGTTGGCAAGTTTAATTTTTTTCTATTAATCACGTAGGTTTGATGTAATCTTGGTTGTATACTTTCATTACATTGATGTGTTTTTTTAAGATTGAACATAGGGACTTTCTGGTGTATGTTCAGAGTTAAAAAAATGCCCCTGTATACAGGGTTAGTCACGAGAGAATTACTTCTGAAAATTATTTTTACGCAACCCAAAATACTAATACCCTGTACCACTTGATATTATCTAAATTTAAAATGAAATGCCTAATCCATGATTGCTTTGACTTTGGCAGTGTCACTTTGACTTTAATTAATTTTTAACATTTTTTTTCATCGTTGACTCGCCTCTAGAGCCCCATTGGATCGACGACATACAGTCAGATCAATCTGGACTATACTGAAGCCGTAAGTGCTCTACCAATGTTGTTCGCCGCTAATGTGCATGTGTTAATTCGTCATCTCTGCGTCACCTAGAGCCTCTTCGAAGTGCAAATCTGCAACCTCTGGACTTCTTCGGCCATCCATTTACAAAAAAGCCGTAGCATCCCCCCAAAATGCCCAACATTTTCAACAGATTAGTAGTTAAATTATTTACTTACTTGTTTGAGTTTGTGTTGTAATCTTTGAATAAAATGCCGTAAAAGGAATTTTTAGAAATAATTTTCTCGTGATTAATCGGTTGCAAAAGATCAAGAGGCACACTGGCAAATTTATTAGCGGCGCCGGAGGAAATTTTCGACTGGCTGCGGTACCACCATGGACACTCGCGTAACCTCCTTTTCCACAATTGCCAAAATGACATTGCCAAACTCAAAGCAATCATGGATTAAGCATTTCATTTTAAATTCAGTTAGTATCAAATGGTACATGGTATTCGTATTTTGGGTTGCGTAAAAATAATTTTCAGAAGTAATTCTCTCGTGACTAACCCTGTATACACTTCGAGAGTTTTCGTATAGCGCTGAGCTATTTCGCTTATAAAATTTTTATAATAAAATAAGTATATTAATGGATGACACTTGACAATATTGCGTTGCCTAGCGACGCTAAACTTTACGGTTTAAGGGATCATATAATTATGGGAATCGGCTATTTGAATAGCGTTACGCTAAACTGTTGCCTAAGGCACCATCATTTCAGTATATATACTATTGCATCAAACGTTCTTACTTAAAAATGTGTATTTTGTGGAATGTCTAACTCAACTTTTCGATATAACTTATTGAACCATTTGTTAGAACTTCATCTTTATTTACAGTGTTTATGTAAATTTTGTGTTTTCAGCCTTCAGTAAAACAATGTTTTTATAACATTTAGATTAACATAGTAGTATGTAGTATTCAATTAACGCGAAATAGTTCTCTATTTTGTGCGAGCCAAGAACAGCCGGAATAGCTCGGGTCTATCCTGTATGTGTAGTTGCGTTGAACACTTTACTGTTGGTGGCTTTCGAATGCTCCCACGTTTTCGATTAATTTACTGGTCTTAAAGTGTTTTTCGTGGTAATAGGTAATCATTTGGAATTGTACACAGATAATCTCTGCTCATTCGAAAATCTTGTAGCTTACTACTCGCACGAAAAAACGTAGGTTCTGAAGATTGCATTGTTCAAGCAAGATTTTTAAATATCAATTAACTTCACGAATAATTTTTCATAATGGTCCACATAACTGTGTGTGCATACCAACTTTTATTTAATTGTTTATTAAATCACGAAAAATTAGATATCTTTAGTAGTATCTTTAATTATAATTATAAACAATATAAAGAATGATGAAATCAATAATATCTATTAATAAATATGTACTTATATAATTTATAATTACTTGTCTAATTACTTAATAGTATGTATGTAAATGGTATGTATTATAAAATACTGCTGTAAATTACAAGCTTTTCTAATTTTAGATCTAAGCTGTAAGCAAAAAATGGAAAAGAATAGAAAAGGCCTCAACGACCTGTGCAGGCTAGTTTGACGGAGATGTGATAAAAATCTCTCTGGCAGATTTGTTAATCTAAAATAAACATAAAAATACCAAAAGAAAAATGCAAAAAATCATATTAAAGGGAACAAAATGCATAAATTGACGTAATAGACGACTGTAATAAGACTCCAAGAGAAAACTAACGAGCTTATCAATACATCTTGTCACCTTCTTTTCTGAAATAAAATCTAGCTTTGACTTAAAACGTAGAGATTTTTCACCTCTAGCAAGTAATTCAATTTTTATAAAGTGATTTACATGGGTACAGTGACGGTTTAAGTCAACTTAATATTACCGAGGAGTTTAGAGACTAACATCTGTATTATGTATGTTCTAATTGTTGCGATTTGAATTTTCTTGATCAGTGAAACTTAGCGGCATTTTGTGTGGGTTGGTATTTTCGTGGAATTATCTAGCACCTTAGCAAGCACATCAACCAATGAACTGAATTCTGCTAAAGGACAGTCAACTTCACGACTAAATTTTATCAACAGAGGAAAGGTAAGTTCTAGAGAGAATTTTGACACATAAAAATGCAGAGGTTCAAAATAAATATAAAAAAATGGTCGAAGGTTATTTACACAGATATCCTTCGTCCCTAAGTACAATAAAACATAGAGCTTTTTCGAAAAATTATAAAATTTGATTATACGAATTTTATTTATTTTTTATGATGACCCCTACAAGTTAAAATAAAGAATGTGATGTTAAAATAAATGTAAAGAAATGTGCTAGGCGTATGTTTTAAATGAGTTATTCCTTTACAAAATGGGATTTGACTATAGACTCTACTTCTTTCACTGTCTGGACTACACTGATTGTTCCCGACAGTGGACAGCCACGCAGTCCTTCTCGAACGGTCGTCGTCACCGCTTCTAGGCTTATTCTGGAGTACTCTGTCCGGTCGCCGTCATCGACGATGAGTCACCCATCATCGCCGCACATACTAGAAAACCCATAGGCTTCGTACCGGGCCGGCGTATTGGATGACCCCAGGTATCATACTGTGTGGTACTGACAGATTTAAACATTAACAACAACGAATTAAAACAGCCGCAGGTTAAAAAATCCAACAACAAATTAAAAGATGCAAGAACAAATTAACACGATGCAACAAAACATTAACACGATTCGACAACAAATTAAACAGAATGAATAGTCGTGGAACAATAGTCGTGCTTAACGAGGTCGCAAAGAGAGCAGATTTTAAGTTTTTTGCCTTTTAGTCTGTCACCCCTTTTCGGTAATTCTACCCTAAGGACAGGACTCCACATTTCTATGCCCAAAAAACCTGCCACGTGACTATACTCTCTACTCGGCCTAAGCTATGACCAAGCTGCGCGGTTCACGCAAACGTGAGTCTTCCCTGAAGTTTTAATTTCAACATCCTTGGGCAATGCCAAAACCGCAGATTTTAACTAAAAACCGTGTGTTCCGCTTTCGCCACACGGACTTGTGTCCCATTAGTTAGATCACACTCAAGAACTTACGGAATGTCATATTTTGTCACACTTTATCAACGATTTTAAACAAAAAGGAATTTAGAAGAGATTAAATTGTGTATTAATTCAATTTAATGAATATTCTAAACCTAATTCAGTAAGTTTATTTCATGAACCGTTTTCCTTCACACAACAAGAAACAAACATATAAGAAATAAACATAAAATGCAGTCGAAAATCAAAATAGGCGATTTTGGTACGCATCCCTCGTTGCGAGAATATAATATCAAAGGGCGGCGAGCTTCAAATTAGGCGGTTTCAGTGTCTCTCTGGCAGAGTGATCCTACCCGGATAAAATACAAAAAAGCGCAAAGTAAATTCCCCGTCCCATGGTTCATGATATTATTAATTCTACTAATACGGCTTGCACGTATTTTTTGCTCGAACTTTCGTATGCCCAAATTACGCTTAAATTTATTTTGCGTATCAGTGGGGAAGTTAGATTGCATTCTCTAAAAGCTCTGTTATCACGGATTGAAATTGAAATTAAAGATTGAAGCGAAAATAACGGTTGTTACGTCACCTAAAAAGCCGCCATCTTGTAAAGGTTCAAACTACGTGATCACAGAGCGACTATTGGTGTTTCCGTCAAGGCTTCCTAGAGTTTTCACATTCAGGTTCCTGGGGAACGATGTTGGCTTACCTTAGATAAGCACGAGGCCAGTAACAAAGTTTAAATAACTAAAAAACATATCAGATTCTTTCAAAATTACGTCAGTACGAAGACTCTGTCCAAATAAAAAACAGCTTTGGTTTTAGGTAAAACTCGATTCGTAAAGCGCACGGCGCACGGCGGACGGCGGACGGCGGACTGCAGACAGACAGCCGAAAATAAGAGACCTATGTTTTCGTACTCTAGGGGTCATGATATATCAAGATACATAAAAGTAGCAAGTTGCCCGATGGACTCAATTATAATACTTCCTTAGCTTACGCTGGGGAAGTGAAATGCAGAAAAATATGAGATGAAGAGGAGAAACGCTCCACAAGCCAACCTGAACCTACGGGAAAAAATAAGTAAGTTAGAGCTCGATGTCGCGGGTGAGCTGTATATTCAATATTTACAGTATGTATAGGTAGTTTAGGTGGCATAAGTAGGCTAGCATCTAGCAACCGATCAAAACTGAATCTCAACTATATTTCGTAACATACTCGGGCACTTCAATTGCATAACTAAAACCTTAACTGCAATCAAGTACTGACAATGTCCGAAAAGGCCGCAGTCTCAAGTCGTTTGATCAAACTCCTTACGCGGGCAAAAGCAAAAGCAATTACTGAAGGCAGTCGATTATATTACAAAAATAAGCGCTGTTGAAGGCAACTCTAACTAAACAAATATAAATTATGTCGGAATGGGACTATTTGGTACGGCCAACTTGGCACGAGCCATTTTGGCGCAAAGCCAACTTGGTGCAGGGACACTTTGGCGCAAGCCATCTTGGCGCGAGTACGTCGGTATGTAATACAAAAAAATATTTATTGTTCGTACTGTGATTGGCACCCTGTTATTTATGCTAAGTGTAGGCAACCAAATACACAGTTTCATTCCCACAAATTCCAATAACTAAATGATCCAGGGAGCAAGAAGTTCCACGTTTAG